TTTTGCACCTTCCTTTAACTGGCGTAAAATTTTTTAAGATATGTAATTTAGTAGCAGGTTGTTTTAACTGATGTTTCTTTTTTACTTGTTGTTATAGGAATTTGTAAGTACAAATGTATACATGTCTGCATTTGCCTATTTGGGCGAAATCTGCATTTTAGATTGCATAAATAATTCAATTTCTAAATAAAATCCCCACACCATATTCATATGTATGTATGTATATGCTTTAAGCATGGTGAGTGCTTTAAATTTGTTTTCTTCCAAAACACTTTACAGGGCATATCCTGGTGGCTGCTTACGCACTTAAGAATGGGTATCACTAAGGTGGACAGGTGCAGGAATTGTCGTGAGCGGGATACCAGAGAAACCTTGGAGCATCTTCCTATGCTGATGTCCGGCACTGGCAAAAACACGACTATAACGCGTAAAAACGAGCACCAACTGGCAACGCTAAGGACCTCAACACCGGCCAGATTTACCTTATTTAACCCAAAACACTTTTTCAGTGTGCGTTACCGTCGGCTGTGGCTACCCGGCAAGAATAATTACCCATTCATATTGGCTTTTTTAGTAAAACTTCTTTGTGCTCGGTTTGCTGTATATCAAACTGACTACGATTGTGAAAAGTCTATCGTAAGACAAATGAAAGACAGCTGGCAAGATTAGACGAAAGACTTGTGTCTTAGAAAAAAAGCTCTCCCATTCACTACTCGTGTTGAAAAGCTATTTTAAGAGAAATCATTTGTATATCATTTAGCTCACGTTGCTCCAACAGTCGCAATGGCCTAGTGTACAAAGCAGAGGCGTACCATTCGACGAGAGGCCCGAGTTCGAGTCCTCGGGCAGCCTAACTTTTTTCAGTTTTCGTTTTTTTTTTATTTACATTTTTTTTCTTTAAATGAATTTTCTTTTATGTTAAATATTTTATTGTTTTGAACGCGAAGATTGAGGTCCCGTACGTAATGGTCAACCCGTCATCTAGTTCGTGTCGTCCTTAGCGTTCGTCGATGCGCGTCTCGTGCAGTCCGAGTCCAATCCAACTACGAGAGCTCAACCTTGATCAAGGATATACCGCCTCGCACCGGTCGACAGAGTTTCGTTAACGATAACAGGGACCATCACGCCTTGACGGGCAGTGGGTGAGGTTGTCGTTTGGGAAGGATAGGTTATATAGATTCACTTCACTCCCCCATTAAACCCTCAAGAAGGTTTATAAGCAATATCTGCACTTGAATCCTTTAATGAAGCTGTACATATGTATGTAGCTACAAGCTCCCACTTCTATTCGGAAATTTTCTAATTCATATACATAAGTATTTAATTGCGATTGAAGTTATTTATGTATGTAAACTAGGGTGCATCACCAATAAAATGTGTGTTTTTTCCAACGGAATTACAAAATTTATTATATTTTAATACTTTCCCCTAAAAAAATTCGGGAAAATATTACGATTGACGTAAGCTTGACCGATTTGAAAATAGCATCAAAAATCTCATTATTTTGATTCCGTCGATCAAATTTTTAAACGTCTTTAGGCAGACTCTCTAAACTTAAACTGAGGTTGTTTTTTTTTAATAAAAAAAATTGATTTTTGAATGTACATATTTTCTTACCTTAATATTTTTCCGAAGTATTTTGGCGAAAGTCTTAAAATATAAAGGCCGATTTTCACTGTGCCATATTTTGACAACAAATTTTGTCAACACAACTTTATCTTCTTTTTTCATACCATCACCGATTATATTAGGTTCTTTCCCTAACAATCCGGACCGGATCCGGTAATTAGAAAATAAGCGAAAAGTTTGCTCTCAAAAATGGAACATAATCCAGAAGTACGGGAACGCAAAAAACCACATTTCGTGCCCACAATTTATGAGACAGCTAGTGATGTGCTGAATTTTCGGTACCCAGTACTTAAAAAAGTTTTCGGTACCCAATACTTCTTTTTCGGTACCCGATACCGATTCTTTACATTAAACCTTCGCCATTATATGCATTTCAAGTTTAGAAAAAACTTTAATTACTAATTTATATGATATCGGCTAAAACACTTGAACTTATCGCAACAGAGAAATATTATTTTAACAGTTTTAATCTTAGTTGATCCAAGGTTCAAGAAAAATGCTTTTACGGATGAAGAAGCCTTTCAGGGGGGAGATTCTGTAACCAGTTAGCGACAAGTTTCGGATCGATATCGCACCTGTTGACGTAAAAATATTTCATATCATACGTCAACAAAACTGATGCCGATTCGAAAATTGTCGCTAACTAGTTACAGAATCTGCTCCCATGCCTACAAAAATGATATCGTCCGATTCAGCTGGAACAAAAATGCTTCAAACAACATGCTTCTCGAACCGACATATATACATTTTTTATTTGAATCCGTATTAAAAGCTTTATTGGCTTCTACATTCGGATTTTTATAGGCGAGTCACCCCTGAACCGTTTTTTCCATATTTTTGGCCTATTTGCGCTTTTATTCGAAGCCTAAATGTTTCGGTACCGAGTATCCAGAGTATTGGATACTTTTTAAATCTCGGTACCGAATATCGGTCAATACTTAAAAGTATTGACTCAGCACATCACTAGAAACAGGCAACATGTAAACACAAAACAGCTGATATGCACTTTGACACTTTATCCATTTTTACCTGGAGAAAAAGTCCGGGCTGTTTTGGGCAGGAAGAAGAAGACACTTACGATCCAATACGTTCCAATTTACGCTCTCTATTACCCATTTTGTTGAGTACGGGAATGATTTCTGGGCTATTTTGGGCACCCGCGGGATCCCGCGTTGCGTACGGGAAAGAACCTATTATGGGCCAAAACGCTCAGATAGCCAATTTAGCAGCACATGTAGACGACTGAAGACCTATTCTGAACTAAATCAATTGCTAGACCATTTTTAGTTCCATTTGACAGTGTATTTTCATTTATTTGACGACAAATGCCGTTGAATTTGACATAGTGAAATCCAGCCTTAATACATTTTTTAATTTCTATGGAAAAACAGTACCTTGAGGATGCACCCTAATGTACCTACATGCGTGCATGCATGCTAATCTACATATTCATATCAAGCCAGCTAAAAAGTTTTGTGTCCTGTCAAATATCTTAACTGCATACATACGCATTTTACCTTAAACTACATTCATTTCAACTTAACTCCAGTCTCATGTGATTGCCATACCTTGAAAACATTCATCATTCATTAAAAAATTGTCCCGCACAGCACATGGTATGTAATTGCATATTTCAGCAAAAAGGCCGAGAACCTAGTGGGGGAATGAACGTCAAATTTGATATGGCGGGGGAATATCCGTCGAACGTACACCGACAACTGGCACGCAACTTCCCTGCAGCAAAATTTAGGGACAGTCTGGCAAAGCGCTAGTTCCGCCCCACAAATTTCAGAACTGTCTCTGAACTACTGCAAAAGGGATGCAGAGCTGGACGGTTGNGACCGCTTTTTAATTGTAAAACTTGACGTGTGTGTATAAAGTTAGCGATAAGATACGATTTGACATACATGCACTCTATAATCACACACATGCATGTGTATATGTTTGTTGTCATACGTACGTACATATGTATGTATATATTTACATAAGTATGTATGTATATAGGTGTATCAACTTATGCTTCGATATTTAATTCTTCATTAAACTCCGAACTTTTTTATTGCAGTCCCTTCGATTGCATACTTTTTGACACACAGTGAACTGCAAGAAAACTCTCTCACTCTCTCTCTCTCTCTCTCTCTGTCAGACGTCGAGAGTCTGGAAGGTAAGTGCAATTTGAGAGCAGGAATTTATGCGCAAGCGCTAAGAGCATCCAGGTGTAAAAAATATACGGTGAGCTCGCGTTTTAAGGACATCGTATATTTATTTGGCTAAGTATTTGGCCGATGTTCTCCTCCATATTTTGTTGTGTATCATGATATTGTAACATACATTGAATGACTAACGATATTTCACACTGCTGTTTTTAACGCTTTTCATGGCAAAAGTACTACCGAAACTACTACCTGACGCTGTTCTTACACCTTCAAAGTTGTTCCAAACAGTACAACCCTATGCGGGAAGATACTTTACGATTCTTATGATATTTCATTAGCATCGTTTTCATGGTTAGCTACTGAATTTAATCAGAATACCAAAAGCTACTCCGACCCTGTACATACTTAATTCTAGATTATAAAAAAAAATGTTTCAATTTTCGCATAGCACGACCACAGAATCGCAAGTGTAAACAGAATCAAATCGCTAAGCGAAATTCGTCGGAAGAAAGTTCGCTGCCAAAACTAAACACACTGTGGTATATCAGATTGCATACAACCAAGCGGCAAAGAAGTTCGTCTAACGAAATTCGTCAAGAATAGATTTATTTTTAATTTTTCCGCCGCCGTCCGGCACAAAATTAGTTGTCAGTGGTAAAATGGCATTGTTTTTTCAGTTTTCTACTAAGCTGGTTTTCTTACAAGGTTTCAATAGTGAACGTTTTCCACGTTTCAGGAATGATTTGGGCAAGTGCGTACTTCCCAATTACTGGCCTACATATCTACGAATTTTTCACAATATATTTATGCAACAATTTCAATGTATTTATGCAACAAATATTTTTCATTTGCAACAAAAAGCATAAAAATATAATTTCTAAACTTTGTGCAAAACTCGCGAAAGGTCAATAATTTTTCATGCAAATTTTCAAGTTTTTAATCCGATTTTTCGGGATTTTCTTGAGTATGCAGTTTTGTAGCCCATTGAATTCTAGTAAAATGGATTTAAGCAAGAATCGCGTTGATTTTTTAGATTTTTTTTTTTTTGAAAAAAATTGCCAAAAATCAACGGTAGGTCGTAGCTCCTTTAAACTTGCACTTTGTTATAATAAAATTTATTAAGGCACAAATCTGCATACTCAAAAAAATATAAAAAAATCGGATTAAAAAGTTCAAAATTTGCATGAAAATGTATTGAATTTATCGCGAGTTTTTCACAAAGTTTAGAAATTATATTTTTATGTTGGTTGTTGTAGAACCATATTTTAATTTAAAAAAATAACGGTAAAATATTCGAATAAAAACTATTGCATGTATTGTGAAAAATTCGCTGTGCCAATACTTTTTCCCGGCAGTGTACATATGTATAGCTTAATGCTAAAATGATACACGCATACAATTGTCCGAGGAAATATGCACATAAATAGCTGGAGCGAAGTTGTATGCAGTGGATAATGGCGAACTTAAAGCTCTTGAGCGGCTGTCATAGCAAGGATTTAGGTTTCATTCAACAAGTACATTGCAACAAATATTTTTATGAATTTGAGTGTATGAACAGATATGTATGTTAGGGTGGTCCAAAAATGCACGTGAAAAAAGGTAAAGTTCGAATTTAAATACTTTGACCCCATAAGGTTGTTCTATATAGAAAAAATACCACCACTTTTTTATTTCGAAATCAACAAATATTTAGAGTTCGCTCAAAGCGCTCAAAGTTTTTCATGAATTTTATATGGGGTAAAAAAGTTTTTCGACGGAAAACTTTATCTTTTTATTCATTCGATACATTGTGATTTATGTAAAACAACTAAAGAAGAGTAAACGTAATTATCTGGAACTCCTGCAAAATTTTAATTATTTTGAGCATATGGCAGGATCTTTCGAAAAACTTTAACTTTAAATTTTTCCGTTTTTCAAACCATTTACTAAATAAATAAAAGACAATTTTTTTTCGACAGAGTCCAATATTTCGGCAAAAATCACATAGACCCGGATTTGAGCAGAAAAAGGTTTTTTGTATAAAAATTTAAGGACGCTAATGTGCATTTATAGGTTAGGCTATAGTCGAGTGGTTAGAGGTGCGTACTATAATTCTATAGGACCTACACAGGTTCGATTCCTGATCCGAGCGACATCTAGATATGGAAAAAGTTCTCTCTAACAGTGGTGGCTTTGGCGTGCAAGTACAACAAACCTCCGAGTGTCTGTCATAGAAAAGCTTCGCATGAAGCATTCGCCATTCGGAGTGTCCTCCATTTGTGATATAACCTCATAAACGCACACCATAAGTTGGAGGTGAAACTCGGCAAAAGTTCTTAGATAATTAGGAATGTAAAATATATGTTTATATTATATATTTTGTTTTCCATATGGATGAGTATTATATGTCAGCAGCATAATGACATACTTATATGGATTCGTAAGTGGACAATGTACCACTGCACTTTACAGGTTAGTATCTGTTGTATAGGTCAAAGTTGAGATATGCATGTGAGTGTAACTTTGAATGTACACATATAATTTGAATAAATTCACCTTCACAAGCAGCTATTTTAAATCCGCCACTCATGCATACTTACATTGTAAGTGGGTATGGATATACATATGTACATTAGGGTGGTCCTCAAAATCAAATTAACGATTTTTTTCAGTCTCACCCCCCTCAACCTGTAATACCACGATCACAGATATCACATATAAATTTTGGTACCGATTGGAAACGGTTAAAGTCTATAGAGACTCAAAAAATTAAAATTAATATTTTTTTTCATCTAATACCCAAAATCGATCCTACTAAACTCGAAGATATCACATACCAACTTTGGTCCCGATTGCAGTCGGTGAAGACGTTTTCATAGGGTAATCTGAAGTGTACGACACGCCTTAACCGACTCCAATCGGGGCCAAAATTTATATGTGATATCTTCGACTAAAGTAGCATCAATTTTGAGTATTAGGTGGAAAAAAAATTCATTTTAATTATTTGAATCTCCATAGAGAAATCTGAACTTTGCCTCCTCTAGCCCCCCCCGCGCCCCCCCCCCCCCCCCCCCCCCCCCCCCCCCCCCCCCCCCCCCCCCCCCCCCCCCCCCCCCCCCCCCCCCCCCCCCNCCAAAATGTATACGTGATATCTTCAACTATAGTAACATCGCCGTAGGGGCTGAGGCTTAGGAAATCTGATTTAAAAATTTGCGTCCTACTTTTAAGAACCACCCTAATGTGCATACACATGTAGCAGTTACTTCAAATTCAAAACAACAATGGTCAGTGCGTTGAGCCATAATAGACTTTGTGTCAGCCCTTTGTGTGTAGATATGCAGTGGCATAATAAAGTCATAAGCAAATATAAAATAAACTGACAAAAGGATTTACGATAAACAGTGTGAAAAGTATTTATACGATTATACTTAGAATGTACAATAACACGATACTAAAAAAAAAATATTAAAAGCGATTTTTTAAGAAACAAAAGTAGTGGTGGTGCTACAGAAGAAGGGGTCCTCGGCAAGCACTCAGGTTAGGTTCCTGAGGAGCTCCACAGAGCTACTTAAAAAATTAAAGTGTTGGCTCTTACGACCTTAGGTACTTAGTCTCACTACAAGGATTCCAAGCGGAAAATGCTCCGTAAAAATGCCACTAAAATCCATATTTGCGGTTTCAAGAACCTGTAAAGCTATGGCTTGGCCGTCTAAGATCCATTCTAGTTCAGAAAGACCTTCCCGTTGCACGCATGCTGGTAGCGCTCACTGAGCTGTCTTAAGTTGCATCTCTCTAAGAGCAGTTCATTTGTAGTATAAAGTGCTTAGACCTTTCTTTGTTCGGGAAAACGTCGAAGTTATTCGTCAGGCAGTTTCCTACGTATCCATAAAAGCCTACTATAATGATCTGGAAGCCTACGCTTGATTTTGAGTAAATTTGGACTATTCTGTGAAGTGCAATCCCAACTAACTTTTGTTAGGCAATCGCCAGATGTGGAATTCCTTTATTAATCGCCAATAACTCTCACTCGCTCCCACCACAAGGTCTTTTGCCACCAAGCAGGTATAATGCCGTCTGGTTCCGGACAAGTACATAAAAAATATGCAGTACTTTCTGAATATTTTTGTCACCATCTTGATATCTAAGGTATTAAATTGTAATCGATCGTAAATAGATGATCCGCGCTTTCTTCCATGCCTAATTGTCCGTATGCACAGTTGGAGCCAGCACCCCTACGAAGACGGACGGAACCGAGGTCGATCCGGTGACAAAACAGTCCTGTCGCGGTAATCAACTACATACATACATATGTACATATATGCAGCGCCAATGTGGACGCCAGAAACGAGCGATACGTAGTGAGGAAAGTTGCAAGCATGCCAGCATGCGGTACTACGTATGGTCACGGAAGAATACCATCCGAGCATTATCTCTATCTTACATATCGTGCAAATAACAAAATTGATCAAGTTCTGAAATTGTAGAATCGACCGATTATCCGGTGATAGGACTTTTTTTAATTTAGTTATTAGAAAAATAATTTGATTTCAAGTAATTTTACAGCGCCATCTCAAGACTCGATTCTCTTTCAGTCTGGCAACACTGCTGCACCTTGAAACACATAAGAAAAACACTCTGCTTTTGAAGCAGTTCCTTTATGATGACACTTTGCTAAGTTAGCAGACATTTACCAGACTGAAAGCTAGACCTTTACCCATGAGAACTATCATTAAAATATGGTAAGACACCTTACCGCGATATAGTAAATACACTCATGCCCAACTCCGCTCAGGTTTGTGCAGCTGGCTAAACAGCTACCAAGAATGATAGAATACAAGATTGCGCCGATCAGAGAGGATTTTTGAGAATAACTTTTGTGTGACGTGAGCAAGAATGGAAGAAGAAGAAAAAATGTTGCAAGGAAAACGTAAACAAGTTGCACCAGTGTGACGTCAGGCATACAACGATTCTGTCAAATTCGTCAAGAGAGGAATAGCGGTCCGCGATCGGCGCAACCTTTGTATTCTCTCAATCGTGAACAGCTACTACATCTCTCAGCTAAACCGCTAAGTGACAAACTTATGGCCAGCATGCGCGTGCGTGCTTCCAACCCGACGATACGCATCGCTGAGCTACTCTAAACGAGAGAACTGCTGATTCTGCGCTCAGCCTTACCGGGTCGGAAAGTGAAGAGGACACATGAGGGAATGCCTGGGGTGGATTGAGCACTGGTTTAAGTAAAGAACAGTTTAAGCTTCTTAGGAAACTACAGAAGTAAGTATGTACATCAATGAATTTAATTATTTTGGTTCACTATTTTTATTGTTTTATTATTCTTTATTAATCATTATGTCCTTAACGTTGACACTGGTTTGGGTTGTTCTTTAAACATTTGGATTTTTGTTTCCTATTTATCTCTCATTTTCTCTCAGTGGCTTAACGAGGAGCTGTATAACATTTCAGTATGGTGCATTTACATTTGCCTTTAACTTGTTTGGTGAGTGATATTTAAACGAATTCATTTGTTCTTAGTTGTATAAACGGTCTCTATATGTATGTATATTTTTAGTATTCATTAATTCGTTATCTTTAAAATTACATTACCGATATTTTTTATTATTTTTTCTTCATTCTGTTTTTTTTTTTTTTGTAGTTCTGCATATTAAATACGACACTTACAACAAATCATTTTCTTTTTGTCTGGTTAATAACAATTTTTTTGTTTTTTTTTTATGTTACTACTACAGGTTGGATTTATGTTTGCATTTGTTCCATCTAATGTTTGATAGGTAACATACGTTTGCATATTACATAGTATTTAGTAAATATTCGCTGATATTAATTATAGGGTTTTTATTTTTCTTTGTTCATGTTTTTATTTTTATTTTTTATTTTGGTTTTAATGCGGACTTTGTTGCCGGGTCAACACGATTTCATTTTCTAGTTAAATGCGTGGAAGATGTTTTTCTTTTAAACTTGTTACTTTTACCGTAACTTTTTTATTTATATTCTAGGTTAGTATTTTAACTGCTGGCAACTCTACTACTTGGACCTGTGCTGAATATCGTCTAATTTTTTCCATTTCATCTTTTTTCGCTTACTTTTATTTTAATCTTAAATCCATATGAGTATTATAAATTATTTAATTTTTTAGCCATCGCGTGGATTTACAATGCATTAACATCTCGATTTCACAGTCGCTATACACAAATTTGATAATAAAATAAACCTGCCATCAATATGCTTACATCAACTACAGACCTGTTTGTTTAAAGTAACATTCTCTAATACACTTTAAAGCCTTTCTTTTTCATTATATGGTATGAGTTTTTTTTTCATATTTACGAGTAGTAAATTTTTCTTTTCAAAGCTAAAGAAAAAATTATATTTTTATTCATTTTATTATTGTATTAAAGTGGCTGTGCATTTTTGTTGGTGTATACAAACTAAATTCATAAGGCCACTTGGCTAATACATTTACATATAATATTTACTTATAAATATTATGGGTTATTTTTAATTTACATAAAATGAGCAGCTTTTTTCGTTAAACATGTGTATGCAGATATACATATATATTTTTTTCGAAAACAATTGGGAAACCTCCTAAAAAGTTTTCGTATGACCGTCGTCAGTATGAAAAATTATGTGCCACAGTGTTTTTTAAAATCGTGCTTGTATATTTATATGCAAAAACTTTATACCATTTATATCCTTCAAATCAAATACATTCCATACAAAAACGAGGACAGACTATCTGAAATCCTTCGGAATAAAGACAACTCTGACGACGTTCCTTAGGGACGTATCCAGTCCGCATGGAGTTCGCGTAGAAGCCAGCGAACCGCACGATATTTCCAAAAGTGAGGTCTATCACCCAAAAAGAAATTAATTGTATCTTTTTCTAGTGGACCCAAGACGCGTACAATGGGCTGCACTAATCGGAATTTGGGGCATTAAGATCCACAACTATATACAGCAGACAGAACGACTGCAGCTCACACTGCTATTTGACTAAGGAAAACCGGGTGGTTAACAGGCTCGATTACTAGACACTCTGGAGGGCTTCGATTTCATACCTGATCACACAGATTACTGCGCCTCTGAATAAATAAAGTGCTCCTAGTAGCTTCTTCTCTGTCCACATATTTTGTTCAAGGTATGATTAAAGAACCAGTGGCCTTACTGCTAAAGAGTGTGACGTCATTGGGAAGATAAGCAGCTATCAGGGCCCTGAACGCAATTGCAACAGAAAGTAGTCAGACCATGACTGACCTCCCTCCCACTTTCCATTCTTATAAAACTTTCTGGGTTTCGGGCCACAGCAATATTACGGCAAATCGCATTGCTGACAGCTTTGTAAGGATAGCTACCCTTGAGGGACAATAGACCCACAGGATCGCGGTGCATAGCTCTTTCAACTACCCTTGAAATATTATCACCGAATAAAGAGCAGTTCGTGGCATTTATGATATCATTCAAAAATTACATGATATCACTTCTTCGAATTCGAAATTTACCCCCCAAGGTACCAAGAGCGCGAAAGTCCACAGATGCGGCTTTATATCGGCTGATAACCGAAATTCAAGGTGCCTTTGATTGATGTTTACATCGCAGTAGAGAAGAGGAGTGTGCAGCCGGCTATGGGGCAGCAAAACTTCTTCAAACCAGAATTGCTGAAACCCAACTAGGCGACAGCGTGGTACAACTAAAACATAAGAAGTGATAACCACAAGGAGGGGTTATATCTCCTCTTTTGTGGAGCATAGTAGTGGATGAACTCTTTCAGCTTCTTTCTTACAATTGCAATCGTTGCCAAGGATATGCCAATGCTATATTTAGGCTTCATTGTCAGAGGAAAGTTCGAAAGCACTCTCTGTGAAATATGTAGTTCGAAGGGGATTTACGATCAACGAAAGGCAGGTCATTATTCCTTTCGCTAGGAAAAGAGCAACATAACTCTGAATGGGGTTGTGGTTAATATTGCCAGCGCAATGAAGTATCAGGGATTAATCCTGAATACCAAACTCCTATGGTACAAATATTTGGATCCGACCATCTGCAAAGCTTAGGTCTCAAGCACTACTCTGGCCACGGTAAGGCAATTACTCACAAAGCTACAACCACTGGTGTAAGCCTAACAGGAGCAAGGTACACATGTCCAACTATATCTAATTAGCTTTTTTAAAGAGGGATTTGGGAAAGTAAAGCTCATATTCTCTAGGAGAATAGAGAAGCTAGGTGCAAAACCTGATATACCCCTTTCTTTGAAAGACTCTACCAATCTGTCATTAGGCATTGGTATTCAGATGGCTCGAAAACTCTTAAAGGAATAGCGAGAGACAGGGATTTTTGAGCCCAGAACCGAGATGTCTGATCCTATGGGCGGAAGTCTACGATCATATTTTAGGCGTAAGAATATGCCATCAATACTAAGCTATATTTTCATACATATTAATTGGAGGAGGAGGAGGATTGGCGGCGGTCAAAGCTCTACTATCATATGAAATCAAATTATATTTAGTCCTTGAAAGACGCGTTGAGGGTTTGGTAAAACGAGAAAGCTGTTTTATTATTTCACCTGTTTATAATTTCTCCATGTATACATAAGTATACATAGTCGCTTCGACGTGCCTTTTTTTTAAATGGCATATATACATTATTTTCATTGCTATGGGCCTTATGCATAAACAAGTAATTTTTAAGCAAAAAAACAAAACCGACATCAATTCTCTAATGATCGGATCTAAACCAGATTAATATGGGACCACCTCTGAGACACTACTTTCCGATGCAAAAAGAATTATCGAAATC